CGAAAATGAATACAAATACTTGCTTAAATAGATGCTAAAATGTAACCGTTGGCGGTTACTTGAACAACTCACATTGAGAGTTTGTGTGGAACTGCCTCCACGTTCTACTAATGACTATATATGGCAACTACTTTTTCCGCCACTTGCTCTTATTTTTGACTGGCCTAACCTTCGTCAACCCAATTTCTGCTTCCAGTACTATCTCGACCCAATTCCTGGGGATCACTTCTTAACTCTTGTCGACGGCCCCCGTTTGACACTTGTAGAATAATTGACACTCCTTTTGACAAAATATCATCCAACTTGTGACCTAATCTTCTGAGTCAAAAATTTCTTGTCAACAAAGATACAACAAACAAATCTTATTAACAACAACAAAATCATCAACAACATAGCATAAATTACATACAACATACAACTTTTGTTACTAACAATAACAACATATCAACTCATAAAATATTTCAGAAATGTACATGTCCCAAAATGGTATCCACAATGAAAGGAGGATGAAGCTAAAGTGGGAGCAGTAAAGTTGTGTTAAATTTGAATGGATGTTATTATGGATCTTTCATACAAGTTTGGAGCGCTCCCTTTAGCTTCATCCTCATTAATTTTTTCATTCACCTTCCCTACCTACAAGTCAAAAACAGTAGAAAGTTTGCTCATCTTAAGTTATACATGCCATACATAAACAACATAGTTCACTTCTTAGGTTATACATTCACTCATACTAAGTTAACTTTTAAACAGATTTTGAAATATAAGTTATCGTAAAGACGAACCTGTAACGTAGCCATTTCCTAAGATTTTATGCAACAGAGGTAACCCTTCGAAGAATACGAGTTCGCTGCATGAGTTTGGGGTTTCTATTTTACATGTTTGTGAAGAAAGGTTATCGAAAAATTAATGGAGATTAGATATATGAGAGAGACGAGTGAGAGAGATGTTAGGTTTTTTTTAGAGAGATGTTAGGGTTTTTCTTTGAGATAGACGTTTGTTATGTACTGAAACGAGAAATAATTTGGCTTATATATAAATATATAACACTTTTCATCATGGTTCCGTGATGAAATGCTAGAACCTTACACCATGGTTGATAATATGAACTATGATGATATACAAGGACTGTAACGAAAAAATAGAAAATCTTTGGTGTTGGGATTCAAACCCTTACACTTTAGGTACATTTCACCACAGTTGTTTGAAGGTAGAGAAAACACAAGAAAATGGAGATTTGAATTGGGTTTATAAAAAACATTCCCCTTTAGAAATTTCACTCAAATGATGAAGGCAATAAGGACATTGAAGAGTAAAGGACACAAAAGATTTATCCAGGTTCACCTTAACAAAGTTAATCTTGTCCACCACCTCAAGAATGATTTTGCCTTCAACGAGGACTTAATCCACTATAACCAAACTGATTACAATTGCACAGGAAATCTCCAGTGACTAACAAATAATGACACATTCAGTGATCTCAATGGATATAACGTTCATTGACCTAATAGAATCTGATCAATTAAGATCTCGTATCAGGATTTTCCACAATGACCACAGCCACTGTCTTCTTGAGATCATATTTCCACTCAGTCAGTCAAGGCACCTTTCAATGATATGTCCAGTGATCTGATTTAATGAATATAATAACCATTGACCCAACAGAATCTGATCTCTTAAGATCTCCTATCAGGATTTCCCATAATGACCGTAACCATTATCTTCTTGAGATCAGACCTTCACAAAGTCACTCAAGGAACCTTTCAATGATTTGTTCAGTGATTCGATTTAACAAATATAACAACCATTGAACCAACAGAATGTGATCACTTAAGATCTCCTGTTAGGATTTCCCACAATGATCGCATCCACTGTCTTCTTGAGACCAGACTTTCACTTGGTCACTCAAGGAATCAATCAACAATAGTTGATAAGGTTTCTGTGTTTACATTATTGCTTCTTCTAAGCAGATTACACAAGTAATTTAAGCACATATTGTTTAACACAATTTCGAGCAACAACTCTTGTGTTAAAACAATTTATATGAAGAGATCAGAACTAGCACAATACCAGCAATAGCTCTTGTGTATATTACAATGTTCTATCAAGATGTATTTGATCAGAATTTTAGTAGCATCTTGTAGTGTTCTTCTTTTTCATCTTCTTGTTGAGCAAGTTACGAGCAACAAATTCTTGTTTCTTCTGAGATCTACTAAGATGTATGTGATGATAGTTTGTATAGCATATTGTAGTCCTCTTCTTCTTTCTTTCTTTCTTTTCTCTCATTTCTGTGTAGTGGTCTTCAGCATGTTTAGCATTGCTACTTTGACAGCTTCAGGATCCACGGCTTTTCAGCTTGATGGCCAAAGGCACTTTTCTTCAAGTCTTTGATCTTGTTTTATAGGCTTGAGAGAGAGAGACGTTGTGAGGATAGAAAAGTCTTTACCTGCATCAACGGTTAGTTCTCAACAAATAAAATAAGGTGTAAGAGTTTAGATACTATAAAATAATATTTTCTATAGCATGTTCTTTTTCAATGCTAGCTTTCCACTTTTTCTCTAAATAATGTTTTTCTAATAAGCTTGTAAATAGAGATCTGTTAGGGAAAGAAATTAATTATAAATCCATATGTTTGTTTCCAACAGTCACAATGAGAGTGGTTGATAATACAGTACGAAATGACTGTCCTTATGTCACCCTAGAGGGTAGAGGTCACATAGCGCTTTTTGTACCTTTTGTACACCATCACACATTAACTATTTATAACTTCTTCTTATCTTCAGAGGCTTCAGATAATTTAAATGTTTGAAGCTTGTTGTTTAAAAATCACTCTTAAGTTTTAGAGCCTAAGTCTTTGAGTCTTCAGAATCTTGTCATATCAGAACTTCGTCTTTAGAGTCTTCAACACTTGGTTGTGAGAACTTGCTTTTATTCAGATTATCAAAACTTGTTCAGTAGAACCTCGTCTTCATAATCTTCAGAACTTGTAACACATAGAAATAAAGCTTTAGAAGGCCTCCAAAGCTTAACCATAATGTCACGATCAGAACCTCTTGTACTAACGTTCCTAAGACCCGTTGCATAAGATGAATTCCAGAATCTTGACTTCAACTGTAACACGTAACCACATGTTTTCATCCAGTAGTGTTTATATTCAGAATCTGATGACGTCACACGCCATGATACCAGATCTAGAACATTACAGCAGTAGCTATATAATCTTCTGATGGAATACTTCTGATGTTAAATAAAAGTATATACTCCATAAAGTCTCTGAGTCTTTAGAATCTTGACTTTGTCTTCAGAATAATGAGTAGAAACTCTTCTGATGAAAAAATCTTGACTTCTGATCTTGGAGTAGACTCTTTCTTCTCATATGTTCAGAGTCTTAACTTCGTCTTTAGAAACCAAGCAGCACCACTTCTAATGACTGAATCTTGACTACTGATCTTCTGCATTGTAATCGTGTTTCTTGTATACACTTGATTTCTGATCTTGTAGCAACAGCTTATCTGGAACTTTTTCTTCTTGGTAACTCATTGAGATTCTTTTCTTCTCGAACATTTAGCATTCCATAGAACTACTGATGTTTCATTTAGAAACAGAACTCTATGATTCTTCTTCTGATAATGTGATCTTGATGATATCTTGATTAAGACTATCCAGAATTCTGATCACGTATCTACACTCTCGATGAAACCATTAAAATTAAAATTATTCTTCATAAAACATATGTTTGTTATCATCAAAACTCTGAGATTTAAAAATAGATCTAAATCTTGTTCTCACATTGTTAACTATGACTGTAGTCAAATTTCCTTTAGTAAGTAGCAAAAGAAAGTGTCCAAAAAAGAGTTATTATCACGCATAACAAGAAGACCATTGTAATGTGGTGTTATGAAAGATCAATTTTCTAACAGTGTCATTGCCTATTTGAGTGAGTCATACGTCAATCTAAATATATAAAAGATATTCCCAAACATCATGTTATCTATGTTCCATACTATCATTTCATTCTAGATTAATCAAAGGTATATTAAGTACTTGGGCTATATTTTATTCAGAAGACTGAGGTTCTTAGATCCTCTATGGTTGGAAAATTATACAATGATACACATGAGGTGCTATTATATCATATCACATCCCTGCTTGATTTCAACACTAGTAGGTCATCCACATATATCAGCTAAGGAGGAAGCCTTTGCAGAAAAGAAAGCTCTTGTAGAGGAGGGTGATGTTGAAAGATAGTTTGTTTTCATGCGCGCCCATTTCATACTTGGTTATTGGGTACTCTCTCGTGAGACTATGTAGAAGGGCTCGGATGTCAACATATTTGTATGAGAGATCTTAAGTCTTATCCCTAAAAATATGTACTGGAGTAGTATCTATTAAATATTTATTATTGTTTGAGACTTTATTTTTATTATTTAGATCCACTTTAATGGAACTTCTAAGAATAACATCAAATTTTGTTGAGTACTCATCAATTGACAATTAAATAAAATCTGGAAGGAGCCACATGAACTTTGGATTCATGATGAATTTTTCATTGAGGAGTTTACAAATTACACAAGACTTTATTCTTTTAATACATATTTTCTGTCTTCCTAAAAAACAACAACTTCTAATCAATCAAACCAATGATAATAATGATAGGGAAATCAATTTAATTAATAGAATAAAAAAGAGTGTTGATTCTATTATTTACAAATTGAAAACTAATTATTGATATACATCATTTGTTCTGTCTGTCATTTACAAATGTCAAACAGAAAAAGAAACCAAAGCAGTATCCATAACTTTTCTTGCATAGCAAGCCATTACTCCTCAAGCTTCTCTACCTCTTCAACCATTTTATAAACAGTGTTAATTTAGCCTCCAGTGCCAAATGAAAGAATATTTCCATGCCTGAATCAATATTCATCACTAAATATATCAGACAAGATGTCAACAGATCGTAACTCGAGACGATTTATGAATCAGAAATGGATATATCATTACCTTCAATCGAATTCATCTTCGTTTTCTTCAAGATGTTCCTCACTTTCAGGACTTGAGTTGCTATTTACACGCATGAGATGAGCCCCCATGTTTAAGTGCTCTCTCCTGTTATTTACAATCTCATGCTGACAATTTGGTTTAAGGGTGTCAGTGTTATTTACAAAGCCGTTAGTTTCTACCGGCATCATGTGATTATCCCACTCAGTTCCTTCTATCTGACTTTTATGATTGGTAACCTCACCACCATAATTAGTCGTGCACTCAAGAGACTCCGAAATACGTTTAGGTGAAACTCTACCATTTCCAAAAAGCTCAGAACCGCGATGCAACACATGTTCATTTTTCTTGCTATCCATAGCAGGAGCCCTGTAAAACCGTAGTTACATAAATAAGTAAGCTATATAATGACGCATGATTGTGCACATATTTTTCTATGTATTTATGCATGTATGCGTGCACATTGTGCATATAAAAAATATTAAGCGTAATGGCCGATTCTAAATCTTATGACCTTTTAAGTCTAATCACTTAACCAGTTCGTTGTTATACCTTGTTTGTTGTAATTTTGGGGTCTGCATATAGTTGAAGATTGGAACCAAGTCTTTTGGTCTAGCTTCAATCATGCAAGTTGGAATCCTTTCAATCTCAAATTCTCCTCCAGAAGCAGCTTCTTCATCCATTATGGTAGATTCTTTCAACATTGAATTAAAATATATCTGTTTGGAAACAGAATTATGTATTTCAATATCAAACTAAAGGATGTATCATTAGACACTAAAATTATAAGAACATATACCTCTTGCTTTGCCCATAACGGAATCTGAACTGGATGCATTTGAAGTTCCGCTTCTGAAATATACAAATGATGCTCTTCATTGACACAGGGATACGCTTTTGTGACGCCATTTTTAATTTTAGGGTTAATGATGTTCTCCTCTACTTCCTCTGGATATATTTTGCTGCTGTCGGAAATTCCATTTTCGCCATATATGTCAACATTGTCTTCTCGCTCTCTCCGACTATGATATATATTCCATTTATGCATTGCCTCAACCACTAATCTCGCATCAGCCTGTGGAGTGGATTCATAAGCAGGAGATAATCCAGAAACAATAGCTGAATCTTGGCTAGTTATTGTCCGAAGAGCATACTGTATCATCGATCCAGTAGGTGAAAAGACCAACAAGTGATAATTTGCCTTGGAATTGTTCCCTTCTCCATATATGGCTCTACTTCCTTTAAAAATACGGAAAGACGACGCAATAGCCCCAGAAAGCGAATTCTTCCTACCGGTTGCAGCTGCAGCGGCACCACTTACCGTGCCTCTCCAACCATTAGTTCCATTCCTGATTCTGCTTACTACAGAAAGTGTGATTGGAGGACCACCCACGTACAGGCTCTGCTGTTTAGGCATTTGAACGGCTGGCATAGGAGACCGGCGAACTACTTGATTAGTCATAGTGCTTAATCCACTATTTTTTGTAGGACTATCATCATTAGACTGAATATTTACATATCCTCCTTGAGGATTTATGGCAAATAAATGGCTAGTGCCTCTCGAGGAACTAATCATGATCCATTTGCTGTCGTCACTGAAACTAATATCTTGTATAACCTGGAAAGTTGAATACAGATTTATAAAAAGAAAACGATTATATATTAAATCAGAGGACAATTGAGAAAGATCGCACACTCACCGCATTTGTAAAACCACGTTGCAGCCTGTATAAATGAACGTAAGAAGGACCGGCATCAGATGCTGACGAATTCTCACGCACAGGCATAACCTTAAAAACATTTATGTTATGACCCTGAACAGAAGTGGTCACTAATATGGTGCCACTAGGATCAAAACATAAGGCTGAAATCGGACTTTTGTGAGCTCGAAATTGGGCAACAACATTTTTAGAGACAATATCTTTAACAATGACCTGAAAGTATTACCATGTTCAAAACAAGATTTGAACCAAAACTTTAGTAACAATATAAATACTCCAAAGCGTGATATATACACAATACAACTCCCTTGATAAATTAACATTAAATAGAAAAAAAGAATAGTATTTACCATTCCAATGTTATCTAAATCTGCCGAATGGCCATTAATGTTTCCATTGACCTTTGCTCCAGAATTCGCAGATTGTAGTGAACCATTGTTTTCAGAACAGTATCTGGAAAGTTTCTTATATCCCATATCACCAAGGGTCACAATACCAGTAGCAAGATGCTTGCTTGATTCTTTGGCATAGTGTGCAATCATGCTCCCGTTTGAAGAAAAACCAGGAAAGCTTGCAGAAGGTGTTAAATGCTGCGGACTGACATGGCTAGAAGTGGATACCGCAACTGGGCTTCCACTATAAGCCAGCCATCTTGGACCCACCGCAAGTGGTCCATAGCCTATGCCAACAGATCCAGGAGAATTCATCACTATTGGATTGGTAAGTAAAGTATATTCCCTTTCTAATGTTGTAGCATTAAAACAATGTATCTGCAAAATAAACCGCAGGTCCGTTTAACATTTCAAAAACCAGGTAGTAAAAATATGGTTTAATTACTCCGCAGAATAGAACCCTAAAATGACATACCTGAGTGGATTGAGAAACAGCAACTATTCGAGAACTGCACCGTACAGAATAAACAACAGATCTAAACTTCATTACATGAACATATGAGTGGGATTTCATTGAATAAAACTGAACGGTAGTTGGCATATAGTTGCCATTCATTTGGTCATGCGAGTTCGAAGCGGTTCCATTAGGACCAGTCGACCCATCCTTAACATTGCTCCCACCAGTAAAGAGCCCATCAGCACAAACTACCATCAAAGGACGGCTGCTGGCAAACTTGTCTTCTGATTTTTTTAATGCAATTGGATTTGGAACCATTTGCATAAAAGAAACAGGACCGTCGTGTTTGGAAACAAGGTCCCGGACATTGTTTGATTCGTCAACATGCCAAACCTGAAACCCAGACCGATAGCCTAGAAGAAGCACTTGTTGAACAATATTACCCTCGCCCTCCAACTGATCAAACCCGGCCCAGATCACCTATACAAGATCAGCATTGACATGAGTCATCACTCCAAATGACAAATTGAAAACCCCGAGATAGTATCACTACTCTTGCCCAAAAGAAATTGCACACATCTCAAACTTCACAATAAAAATTGCACCATACCTTTTTTATTTAAAAATTCCACACAACAAATTCAAGCAAGAAAATCACTACGAGATTACTAATTACCGAAAGAATTGAAAACCAAATACTCTCGGCATTCCTTAAATACTAAGCATGAACTAACATAACATCAAAAACTAAACAGATTATGCCTTCCACCACCTATTGAATAGAAGAAGCCTAATCCGAGCAGTGAGATCAGTAATCCGATTTTATCTATTCCGCAAAAGCATACATTAAATTATATTTAACCAAAAAGAAACAATCAATAATCCTAAAACAAATCATATAAAACCTATTCTCACACACCTGATCATGATCAGCAACATCATCCCTATCCACAATAGACGAAGCAACGGACGCAGCTGACCGTGCAACGGTAGAAGCACCCGAGGAAACAATCCTCAGATAACTCGAGAGCGCCCGAAACGAGCTAGGAATAAAACCATTGGTCCTGCCACCAACACCAACACCCCCCTGGTGAAGAACCTGTTGTTTCTGCCCATCATTCCTCATCCCCATCAACCAAAATAACACCAAACCACAACACAACAACTATCAATGATTCTTCAAATTCACCTTCAATCATAACACCTCCAAATCCTCTTCCCTTCAATCCACCACCACGTCACACACGTCTCTTCAATTCCTTCCCCTCACCCTAAAGTTTCCAAATTTTCAATCACAACCACAAAAAACACCACCACCACCAGATCAAATTTGTTCCCTTGTTTTTTTCAATTTTGTTTGGAGGCACTAAAAAACAAAGAAAACCCCCAAACGACAAAAAAAAGGAAATTTTTTCGGAATTTTCTTCAATCAATCAACAACCAATTTTTTTCTTCCTTCACGTTTTCTCTCTAAAATATAAACAATGATTCTGATAGTACTAATCACAAATCAAATAACAATGATTGAACTAATCACAAAAAAAAAATTAAAAAAACTTTACAAATTGAAAAAGTTACGCATGTTATATACGAAAAAATCAACAGGAGTGCAGCCAAAAACCGCCGAGGAATCGCCGGAGAAACGGGGGAAGAAGATCTGAGGAGAGAGAAAGAGAGAGAGAGAGAGAGAGAGAAAGTTAGAGAGAGAAAGAGATTGGAATAGGTAAATGGATAACGAAGGAAAGAAAGAAGAAGCGAAATTAATTTGTGAAATTAAAAAGAGTCTTCGTTTACGTCTCTAAGGTTTTTTTTTTCTTTAATAATTTTCGAAAAAATTAATGTTTTTGTTTTTTGTTTTAGTTAATGTTTTCACGTTTGAGATTGTGTTGTGTTGTTGGTGTTTTTGTGTTGGAATAAATTGTTTCAAAGTTGTTACTTCCAGTTCAATTCAACCTAAAACTAACCCTGTTCTTCTCTATTGACACGTCTTGTCCATTATCAAAAACAACAGTTTTTTTTTATTTATTTACAGATTTTTTTAATTTAATTTAATAGTAACTTTTTTATTAATACGTGATTAAAAATAATTAATTAATTAATGTGATTAAATTAAATGAATGTTGGAGTTTAATGGTCCCGATACCATCGTGGTTTACAACTAACGAAGTAGCTAGTTATGGAACAACAATGATGACATATGAGTATCACTTTAACCTTTTATGTGGATTCAATCATAAATATGTGATTTGTTTGAATTTTTTTTTAAAATAATCACATTTTTCAAAAAAAAAAAATTAAATAATCACATTTTCAAAAAATTTATAAAAGTAATTATTTTTCAAACAAAAAAAAATCACCACACAGAGGAATAGCTACTTTGTGTGGCGCATGCATATAATTTAAAGAGGAGGCGTCACACTGCATGACTTGTTCTGCTCTATAAAGTCATGTAGTGTGGCGCATGCATGCAATAATAGTGAAGATGTGCCATCTAATGTGACTTGACAGTGTTATATGGTTTTCTATAAATGCAATCACACATCCTCTTCATTTTTTGACACCATTTCTCACATAACTCTTAGAAAATGTCTTTCACTCTCTTGCCAAGGTTTTCACTGATCAAAAGAGATGCGCGTGTTATTTTTTCAGCGACAAAGCCTCCGATGAAGATCAAACTCTAGAACACGCAGACGTTCGAGCATTTTCAAAGGCACTTGATTCACTGGTTGGAAGGAGACAGTCTTGAAGGTGAACATATCAGAAAAATAGAAAGGCAAATTACAGTGAGGAACGAAAATGGAGTAAGCCGATCATGGAAAAAGGTGAGATGCGACGCTGATGTCATGATGATGATGCTTGGACCAGACGATATTGTGTTGATGGTTTTTATCTCTTAGATATTATGATTTACATAGTTGTTTTATCTGCTTATCATGTTGTTGTGTTGTTGTTCTGAGTTTGTGGTATTGTAATTTTTTGGGTCATTATGTGAAGGTTTTGTAATCGAATGATAAATTGAACACGAAATGATAACTCAAATTTAAATTGAAATTTCTTGCGTACAACAAATTAATTACTCTGGAAAGTTTGCTATAAAAAAATTAGGTTACAGAGCTAGACCCAATATTCGGACAATTTTTCCGATTGTGTCGGGGAAGACGACATGTACTGCATAATCTTATCATTTTATTGGTCGTATCCATTTTAGTTTTAATATGAGTGCTATTGGATCACCTTTTTTTCTTCCATCGCATTTGTTCATTGTGCCAAACAATTTCCCCTTGATAAGCAGACCAATAATCCTCTTTTTCCAACACAGAGAAGGTGTTGATGTACACACTTCAAAAGCTCTTTACTGTGTAAACGGGGGATATATGTTGTATTGGGTCCAAGCGAACATGCGAATATGCCGCTATGATATGAGAGCAAGGCATGTGAAATGCTTGAAACTTTCTGCAATCACACTAACTTCTATCTAGTTCGACCCGATAATATCCCCTTGGCCTCGCCTCATTATGATTCATTATCTCTTGTACATTGAACCACCCTTTAATACGTTCAAACACGGTGACACTATGGGTGTTTGCTTTTGCAGCCTCCTTGTTAAATATTTTCATTGTGCATTCACTGAACAACTGCCCTAATTGTAACATTGCCCTCCATTTTGAACTTATTGTGTCAAACAATGACCGCATCCTAAAATATGTTGCTCTAACCAAATCAATAATTGGTAGGTTTTGGATGCCTTTGAAGACAGAGTTCAATGATTCCCTGAATTATTTCAATCTATATTGAAGTCAGCTAAAATTTCCATGTGGTATTTTTTGATAGCTTTAAGACACTCTTCTTTTGTACGAAATTTGTCTCCAACTTTCAAGCCCCCTTCGATCTACATATAAGGATTGTGAAAGATATCTGAGGCTCGTTCATCTTCCCCTAAATTCAAGTTCGTCATATGAAACGGAGGTTCATACGCATGACTCGTAGGTAGAGGTTCATGCTCTTGATCTGCAGCGTCATCATTGACCATAAAATCAATCATTGCTTCATCACCTTCTTCTTGGTCAATAACATCGACTTCGGGGTGGTTGTCCTCGTCAGATTCATCCTCTTCTTCAAAATCTTGAGAATGATCTACCACCTGAGATTGATCTAGTTGTTGTAATAAATCATACAGCTCAATCTCATTGAACCCGGATTGTTCATGAGTTCGAAACATGTTTCGAACATCATCATCATCGCGCCTCTTTAGTTGATAAAATCTGATGTGGTTGTTGTCAAATAGAAATAGATACTTGTAAAGAATTTGGTAAACTGGACCACACTGCAATTTGGCTTATAGTCTATCTTTGAAGCATGCAAAACTTGATTTCTTGTTTGTCTGAAAGCAGATAAAATCGGTATTATGGAAATTAAAATCTAAGTTATCGCAGTTGAACGTCTCATTATTAATATGAGAAATAATAGTATAATTTTATGAATGAGCCATCTGTTGAGGTATATTTTTTGTGAGTTATGGATGTATACCAGTAGTGCGCCCTAAACAGACGCTTAAATAGACTGATGAAAGTATGAAGTGTATACCACTAATGCACCACCTAGGATGGCTTGCCATCAGATCACCGCCATGCTGCAACTTTGCTTGCATGCAAAAAGTAACAAGCCATGTTGAATGGCGCCTTAGTATATAAAACAAGAGCATATGCCACCTAGTGTGGTGCCTATGTGCATCTTGCATGCAAATCTTTGTCACGTGAATGCATAGTGTTTCTCAATATTTCTTATAAATACATATAACATTCACCCTATATGTTCATCACAATCATAACTCACACATTATTTCTTTCTTGAAACATCAACAAGAACACAATAGTAATCAAGAAAAAATGGCTCTCTTGACCATGGGTGATCAACATAGAGGAACTCTCAACAACATTGAAACCTTTGTAAGTGTATTTTCTTCAATACCTATATTTTGTCGACAAATTTTATTTTCGTAATTCTTATGATTGTTATACGTAAATCTTATATTTCTTATACGTAATTCATGTTTTTAATAGGATGTTAAAGATTTTATTGTCGTATCCATGAGTATGTCCCTTACGACGTACAAGTTGAACCGTACTTACGACATGCCGGTTTTGGTTCGTTACTCAACATAGTCAATTACCATGTTGACTATAAAATTATTCTTGCATTAGTGGAGAGATGGAGGACCAAAACTCACACCTTTCATCTTCCATATGGTGAATGTACGGTTACACTAGAGGACATATACATGTTATTCGGTCTATCGATTGATGGTAAGGCTGTCAATGGTTGAGTCAACCAAGACAACACCATATGCGAGGAACTTTTGGGAGTCTCTTTATTTGAACAAGGGTCTAGAGGCCAAGGTATTAATCTGTCTTCTTAGAGAATATCATAGCAGTCTCGTAATAACCGAAAACTCTATCGAGCAAGAAAAATTGTGAAAGCTTGGTGTTACATAATGATATTATTTGACCACTTTTTATTTCCTGAAACAACGGGTAATATTGTTAATATCATGTATTACTCTTGTTAAGACAATTTGATAAAATAAACACATATAGTTGGGACTTTGCTGTTTTTGCCCATTTGTATAGTTCCTTGTGTAAAAACGCATCGAACGACAGCTATTCTTTCTATTCCTGCGCTTTTTTGCTCCAGACATGGTGCTGGTCGAGAACACCGACACTCGTCCCCCGCAACACAAGGTCATTCGTCTTCCCCGTTGCTTTAAAGTAAGATTATGAAAACACAAAATTTACATCCTATATACTATAACCAACATGTATTAATTTATTATCCATTTTTTCTAGGTAGGTGGTTTGTTTCTGGAATGAATTACAATAAATCCCCTCGTAACGCAATAGTAGTCTATCGAAATATTATTGATCATGTTGGACCAGAATAGGTGTTAAACTTACATAATTTATACAACGCTTTCAATAGGTTAATTAAGTTTAATATTAATATTAGCTTAACATTTTTCCTCTACAGTTTGTATGGAGGCCGTATAAGGATCTTGACCATCAGACTAACCCAGCTGATGCTGAAGTCTGGACTGCAAAAAAATAGCACTCATCAGGTTCACTACTATGGAGATGTACCATAGTTGTTCTGGACTGGGCCTGCCTTGGCCCAAAAGGAAGATAAAGGCCCAAATCCAGACAAC